CACGCAGGTCGCGCGCACCAGCTTTTTACATTTTAATTCTTTTGTCCTCGGAGGGCAAATTCATCTTAGCGAAGGGTCTGGCTAATGACTTATTCAGGGTGTTTTCAGAAAACCATGAGCTGCATTAAAATTTCATCCCCCGCCAAGAAAGTATTTTATAAAATGACTTTTTCTCCCCCCCCCGCCCTCGTTTTGCCGAAAGCGCAGGTTACGGAAGCGTCAGCCCTCGGCGGGGTTTGGTGGGGCTGGGCCGGGGGGTGCTTGGTGTAACTTAGGGTTGGTTTTCTTTTCCCGGGAGTTGCTCCTCGGGGTTTCCATCGGACAGTCCCTGTCCCCCAGCCCCCGTGGGGGGGGCCGTGTCCCGTGTCCCCGAGCGGGGACCTGTGCAGAAAGACGCTGGGATGGGGTAGGCTGGAAAGCCCTCACCTGCAGACCAGGGACAACGTCAATTCCTCTTACTTTGCTTTTTTTGAATCTATGCAGGGAAAAAAAAAAAATAAAGATATTGGGGGTGCTTTAGTTTCTCCGTAGCTCTTGGTTGGCTTGATGCCGTTGCCTGCACGTGGGGAGACGGGCTGGGTTTTATATTTCTGCTCTGTAAAATGCTGTTTGCAGCGCTCGGAGGCCAAAACCATCCCCGCAGAGCTGGTGTCTCCGGCAGAAGCGGCTTTTTCAGGTAGCGGTGAGGAGGCACCTGCCCCCCCCATTTAAAGTATGAACAGCAAAGGCCTCAAATCCAAAAAGTTTGCTCTCAGCTTTAAAAAAAAGCCAAAAAAAAAAAAAAAAAGCCAGAAAGCCCCCGGGTGCTCCCAGATGAACCCCGTGCCCTCCGCAGCTGCCCCCGGCATCACCCGCAGCATCGCCCCCGGCATCGCCCCCGCCAGGGTCCAGCTTTTCGGGCACCGGGGTGAGGCAGCCTGGTCAGGCTGGAGTGTCGTTCCCTTGCTAAGTGCCTTTAATTTGCTGAAGAGAACTCGTTATTGCGGTCACCTACTGCTGGTTTTCCCCCTTACATCCTCAGGGGGTTGGGTTCTTTTAAGAAAAAGCGTGTTTCTGGGTAACTGCATCTCCTTGGCTCTGCGTCCCGTGTACCGAGGTGTCGTGCTGGTGTGTACGATGGCAATGCTGTGGAATTAATGGATTAAATGACGTTTTTTAAAAGAGAAAGGTGTTGCGTGGTTTCTGAGCTGCTGCTGCTGCCCTGTCACGAGCAGTATTTATTTGGTCAGCTATTCCCTTCTGGGCATCGGTCCCGCTTTTTGAGTCTCCTGTATCCTCCTGGGTGGGTTTTTGGTTCCTCCTCCCCTTGTTCCTGCCAGCAAACGTAAACCGGCTCTTACGGGATGCCAAACTTTGCAGCGTTTGCCTTCTGCAGGCTGCCCGCAGCTCGCTGTGTGCAGTGGGAAAAGTACCTCCTGAGACTAGAAGTTACCAAAAATACCTGATGCAGTCAGCAAAAACACCTTCCCGCCCTGCATATGCACGGGGCGATGGGAATGGGGGGGTCCTGCAAGCGCCTCGCATTGCCCAGCCTGCTGCCCTCTGCACCAGCCACACTTGGCTGTGGTTAATTCAGTGTATCCGTGGGGAATAGCTGCTTCACTCAGGGTGGGATTTTTTTTTGAGACCCCCATTGTTGGGGAGAATTTGGGGGGTTTGTTCTGCCTTGCTTTTTTTTTTTTTTTTTTTTACATTTTTTCTTCCATGAATGGGGCATTTACGCGGTTCCACTTGGGACTCCCGGTATCAGTACTGTAACCCTGGAGCCAAATTCCCCAAAGGAGACTCGAAAGGCTCTTGGTCAGAAGGTTGCTTTCAGGGGGTGAGCTCAGCAGGGACAGTAATAAGCAGCTTCTGTTATGACAGCGGCCACTGCTCCACGCCAGGGACCAGGATTCAGCACCTAACCATGGGGTGCCTGAAGCGGATTCAGCACCTAACCATGAGGTGCCTGAAGCAGTCCCCGTGCCCCTTGTCCGTAGTTTGGGGGGGCAATACGTTCAATTGGAGAAAACATTCAAATGACTAAAAAGCCAAAGGCAAGCCCAGAGATGTGTTGGACGGGCTGGGGCAGGGACATGTCCGCCCATGTTGGCTCCTGCCTGCGGTGATGCTGCCTCCCGAGATCAGCGGGCCCCCAGCAAGGCCGTAGAGAATTCATCGCATGGCGGGGGGACTGCGGGCAGGATGCAGGGGTGTGATGAACGGCTGCAGATCTGTGGCGTCTGCTCCGGGTGGCCTCACCAGCTGGGGCCAAGGGAGCA